AGATGCCACTAAATCCTTCACACTTGACTTTTAAGACCCTTTTAAGAACATGAAAGAAAGGAGTGAAATAATTTGAAAATGCCATATATCTTCTAATATCATCCGATTCCTTACAGGCAACATGAAACAACTATAATCTTTTACCTGCAAATATAATTAAGTGCAGAGAAACACATTTTACATTTACACAATGTAATTTTCCTGTTGCTTCTATGAGACGGACCATATTCTAAAGAGCCTCAATACAACCCCCCTGTCTATTGTTTGTCACATTGCCATCTCAGCTTGTGTTTAACCAGTGATCATTTAGAGAGAGAGCCATCACCTGAGGCACTGGTCTCTGGCAAAGTCAAGTAAATCCTGAAAGCTTGTTAATCAGTAGCAGCATGTCTCTCAATGGTTTTCTGACAGTGAATTAAATTGTCTGGGTAGAATAATATCTGCAGTCCTCCACTGCAAATTTCTGTTTTCCTCACATTTTTTCCCCTGACAGATTTAGTTTGTTATATGTCGTCTTTGCGCTTGATGTTTCCTTGTTTTATGTTCTAAAAATAATGAAACTGATCATGGAGGAAGGAGAAGAAGCTTGTGTTTCTGAAGGAAAGTCTGTATGCATAAAAAAAAAGGCGAGTTTTATTTTCTGGACTCTGCAGGTCTGAATATAAAAGTATTCCAAAGCAATTACTTTTCTTCGTCTTGCCCTTTTATCATTTGTGCTTTCTTGGTTCCTTGTTAAAGCTACTTGAACACCCATGATGTCTGTGTGGGCGGGGAGGAAATTAGCTGCTGGAACCACATGTGCTTATGCAGAGCTGTTGGTTGGTGGTTCTGGTGTGCAGTCGCTGGTGGGTGTGATTTCTGTGTTGGAGTTGACATTTAACATGAGCTATTGGTAGGAGTGCTGATACTGTTAGATGGATCATTAAATAGGTACCCAAAAAACATTCTATTTTTAACATTAGTTTATTAAAAAAAACTGTATTGGTGCTGGTAGTCCTCCATCATCGGGTGCAGTAGTTGTAGTTGTCGATGTCTCTGATTTTGATGCATCTCCACTAAACTGTTTCACTTCCTGAATGTGGAGACTAACAAATAAAACTCTGTTCATTGTGTTGTCTGCTTTTATTTTTTGAATACACAGTAATATTGTTGCGACATTTTATTTATTGGAAATTACAGTGATTTCCTGTTATTATAGGATTAGTATCTTGTATGCAGTCCACTGTAGATAGGTTTTTTTTTTTTTTGCTTGAATGAAAACAGAATTTAATCATGTGTGTTATTTTCATTATCTAGGACAGTCTAAATATTATGCGAGTATTTCTCTGACATGAACAAAAAATACAATGACCTTGAGTTTGTGTCTGTTCACACACATCGCTCATTTAAAGCTCAGTACAGCAGTATTTCTGTGATATGTGTGGTTCTAGGCTTTAAGGTTAAAAAATAATACATGGCTATGTTATTTTTATAATAGCAATGCATTAAATGATGAATGTGAAATGGGTCGCTTGTGGCGATGAACCTACAGAGAATTATCACCTGAATCAGCAGCTTTGGCTTTACTGAGATTTATAGTGAGTTTTAGCTCGCCAGCCCACAACCTTACTGTTCACTCTCACTGCTCTCATGTTGTTTTTCGACTGCAGCATGCCCTAAAAACCCACTGTACACTACCTGCCCAGCATCAAACGCCATACAGACAGGGAATCTAGCAGCTAAAGAGTCAGATATTTCCCTCAAGAGTTGATAGAGACCAAAAACCGAGCTATAAGAGTGAATATTAGATTTACATTCAACTACTATTGCTACCACTACATGATGCTAATGTTGTAAAATATACTTGAAAAACGAAAAAGCAAGTTGTGAGCTGATTTAAACCACATCTTCTGGTTCAGAATTGATAACACACACATTATTGGATCAGATGGACTGAATCGTTCTGTGGTTCAACAAAAACAGAACACAACCTTGACAATGAGAGAGAAGTATCGATTTAAAACTGTTTTAATGCTAAACATTTTCAGCATTAATTTGTAGTGCCCTTGGATTTGGTAAATTACTCACATCTAGACCCACATGTATACCTCTCCTTCACTGAATTTCCTGTTATTTGTTACTCTTAACACCCACAACAGCGGAGGTTTTGTTTACCCTGGCTCATTAGTTACTCTATTTTTGGGGCACCGCAAGAAATTCCAATTGCATCAGGGCATCCTGGTTGTTACAGCAGGTTTTTAAAGCTATTTACATACTTATATGTAACAAATTGTATGTTTTTATTTTCTTTGGAAATATTCTTTCACGGAATTAGGATGATGAGTCAACACAGCTGATTAGGTGACGTTACTCATATTTCATGGCTTACTCTCAACCTCAGCAGCGAAGGATGAAACTGTCTTCTTTTCTATTCCATATGTCATTCAGTGAAAGTTGCGTAGAATGAACATGCTGAATAAGTGTAATCAGTGGTAACAAGTTAGAGGAAATATTTCTCTTGAACAGATGTTGATGATAGGAAATCATAGAGTTGCACACATCTGAGTTGTTTTCCAGTGGTGTGAAATTCTCAGGAGAAAAAACAGATTTTAATATTGTTTACAGTGTGGCAGCACATTTCTTATACATTCAGTACATCTTGAAACAATATTTGTGTTTTGATAAGAGCCAAAAGAAGTAATCCTCTAATTTTCAGAGTAATGTCTTTTTGAAAATGTTATTGTGTTTTCTTAAATGAATGTTTTCACAATTTGTGTTGTAATCCATATGCAGGCAATAGCTATTGTTATTGTCGCAACATTGCTGCTTACGTCTTTGAAATACAAACACACACGCACGCACACACACATATCTTTTTCATTTGTTTGTGTTGTGTGACAGCCTGTGATGTCTATCCACAGGATAATGCACTGGGCCAGGCGTATCGAGCAGGAGATTGACAGAGTCTTTCAGCACATCACTGGAGCTCAGCAGTTGAAAGGGGTGAGTGTGTAGCTCTCTTTTTATAGTATACAGGTCGTATCTATCAAAGCGCTGCATAAGAAATGCACTGAGCAGAGAGGTCAGTGTGTAAAAAAAGGTATGAATCCATTAAGCAAAGTAGGTGCATAAAATAAGAAAACAATTATAATCTGCCTTTCAGAAACCTCTTTGGTTTGTTTTTTTTTGGTCGTGATTTTCTGGGACTTCTTACAATGCAGTACAGTCAGTTACACAATGTTTTTGTTTTTCTTTGGACAGACATAAAACTCTGTAATAGCTTTTATGTTCATCTGTTTCCCGAATGCCGAACGTAGCCAACTTTTGCTGGCACTTTGTGTATTGTTTGCAATAATTATCAATCTTGCACACATTGTATGATTGCTACCAAGCAAAAGAAATGCTTGAACAGACGCCCACAGTGGTTAGATTTAGAATATCTAGTATTATGTTTCATGAAGTCATGAGTTTAATAACACCTACAATCATGAATACTAATTCAAAGCTTTCATAAGCTCATCATGTAATGACTGTGTTATTTTTGCCAGTGGAGCAATTCACTTTCAAGAACGGTTTCATTACTTTTGTATTTGTGCAGTTTCATCAAGTTCTCAATGAGATGCATTTTAATGCATTTTACATTACGTGCATTAAGGTAATCTGATTCCAGGCTCTCTGCAGTAACTTGATTTCTAAACTGTCATATCCTGTAAATGAGAAACCTGATTTCCTCATAAAGGATAAATTGTATGGATTTAGAATTGTTTTTTAATGTATTTTGTAAAAAGTGGCTCCAGTGAAAACTGTTGCCAATGAGGTCTGTGGATTATCCAGAGCAACAAGGACTTTGTTAGAAGATGTCTGTGTTGACATTTTTAAAGGATACAGTTGGGGATATTCTATATTTTTCTTAATGTCAACAAATCTCCTGAACAACAGAACAAAAGAACAAAAATAGAGCGATGCCTGCAAGCTAGAATCAGGCAGTCAACTCGAGCTGCACTGTTATACACACATGACATGCCTCACTCCATAATCACAAACCAAGCACACCCTTCCAATCTGGCGGTCTATTTAAGATGCAAAAATTTCCCAGCTCTCCCTCTGCTCTGTCAATGTTGCTGCCTGTCGTTCTGTAAGCGCCACCACCACCACAATGATGTGTTTTTAATAGATTATGGACAACAATGGAGGTCTATGGCGATAACCAATAAGCTATATCAGAACTGAACCACACAGACAACATTTAAAACGTATCTAATGCACTGACTGTCTGTCACACTGCATGCAAATGTCCTAATTACTCATAGCGATCTGGTTTCACCATTTACCTGTTGAGTCCAATAAGTTATCAAGGCTATTAAACATCCTCGCTGTAACAGGTGTCTAGGAATAATGGGTTGTCTCTGAAAAGGTCAATGCCAAAAACAGGACCAAAGATCATCTGTAGGGGGCAAGAGAGCCCTGCTCTGTGAAGATGTGCGGGGGCGTTCCCTCAGCAGAGAGCATTGGCACGTGTCCTCACTGTTTGTGTCACAGCAGAGCAGATGGTCAGCCTGCAGCCTTCAGTAATGCCTTGATGTGAGACTCACTCCTTCATTCAATCCTCATTAATCCCTCCATGCTCCTGAAACACTCTGGATCTGTTAAAGAAATTGTTATACTCTGCTCGTAAAGCTCATTGCAATCTTCTCTTGTCAAGGAAACACGTAATTTAAATGAAACATTATTTTCAATTCCTCAGCCAATAAAAAGAAAAAAATTTTCATTTGCATTTCATTTTGATACAGCCTTGTTTTTGTTTTTTTTAGGAATAAAATCCTGTACTTTGGTTGGGCTGTTCTTTTGATGAAATCCCAAAGCATTTTCTTGTTCTGAAGAAAGCTAACATGTAATTATGTAGTGGATGAGAAAAATCTGTAATCTTATGGCTATTAAAAGGCCCTTAAAGTGCCCCTGAATTTGACATGCTAGCATCTCTGTAAGGCTGTACCCGGCCATAGTGGTGCTTTAAGCTCAATGCTTACATTAGCATGCTAAAGTGAACACAATGACAGTGCTAAAATACTGATGTTAAGCCGCTTTAGCTTAATGTTTACCATGTCCATGTTAGTTCAGTGTGTTAGCATACTAATAGTTGGTAAGCACTAAGACAAAGTACAGCTGAGGCTGAGAGGGAATTTAATTTGTTTTTGCAGTATCATGACAAATAGAAATTGTGACCTGATGGTGGCTCTAGATCAAAAGTCAGGAAATCTCCAAAGTGATTGGAGTTTAGGGGGACATGCATATCTGTACCAAATTTCATGACATTTTAGTCAAAACCAAAAATATCAACCACATGGTAGAGACAGTCAGTAAGTTTAAACCTTTGGTAACCATAATGTTTTGTATTGTTTAATTGAATTGCAATCTAACATGTAGATGTTAATGTAAAACTTCACTGCTAGAGGCCCCTAAGTCTTGCACACTGAACCAGCAACAGTGGTACATCTGAATCACATCTTGATTCTGAATACATTTTACACAGGACCTAGTTCGTCTCCGACAGCACACAGAAACACCCTGTTCATTACTGCATATTCCCATCTGTACGGCGTGGGCCAATGAAGCATCTGGTCAGTATAAAACTTGAGGGATGTCTTGAAGTTCATTTCATGAAGTCCATTTATAGGGAGAGGGCTGTCATACAGTATGTATGCAGGTTTCCCAAATGTATTCATCCAGGTCACTGGCTGTCTTGTTTTCATCTTCCTGTCTGACATCTTTCCTCGGGAGGTAGAGAGTGCGGTGGCCTAAAACCCACCAGGCAGCAGCTCGTAGAAAGACACTGTCACTGTCTTATCCCCAGAATATCTGATAATGATGAACCTCTTGAACTCCCAGTCATCATGGTTTCTGTGTGTAATAATGTACAGCAGAAGACAACGTTTGTGTAGTTAGATACTGTAGGCAAAAAAAAGAAGAATATAAAAAAATTGATATATTCTTTTTGGAGAGGTCTTGAATGTGGGCCCCTGTCAGCTAAGCCCATGAAAGTTTCTCCTTGTACTCCTGTTTGTGAATAGACATGTGGCAGTATTTCATGCCAAAATATACCAGCCTTATCTGTAGCCATTAGCAAATAGACTTTGGGCTTTGGGCTTTGGGCTTTGAATCCCATCACTTTCACTAGAAACCAATAAGAATAACCAGGTTTTGACTGTAAAGGGTATCGATTAAATGAAAATCTTATTAATCTTAAATGGTTAATCTTAAAAAATCACATAGAGCAGAGATTAAACAAACTTAATATACAGTAATATAATTAAAATGGTGTAATGATGTAGTGAAATTAATTATTAAATGGTGATAAGAAAAGTAAAAGTGAACCATTTATTAAAAACAGTGTCTGTTTCTACATGTCAGTGAATCTACTCAGTGAAATCTTTGTCTTCCAGTATTTATTCGATTCTGAGCACAACTAAAAAAAAATGTTATGCAGCTTGTTATTTGTTTTTACAAGTTAAGTTTTAAAGTAGAAATTAGTTTGAAACTAAATAGTCACTCAGATGCAGTTCAAATGTGTCCTCACTCTAGTATCTTTCCCAGATGACTCCTAATGACCCACAAAGGTCTCTGGTGTATGAAATCTTAAGGAATACTTTGTAAGGATGTTGAAAGGCCACATTTCAGATTCTCTGAATGTAACTGACGTGTTTCATGTGTGGTCTAATTTAACTTCAATACCTCTGGAGACGGGCATTAGGAGCAGAATCTGGGTGAATCTGGGTGAATCTGGTTTGTTCAGTTTGCAGTGAGCTTTAGACCGGGGTCAGAATATAATGAAAAGGGAAAACAGTTATTTCACCTTTTCACAGACAGCCTCACACAGTAGTCTGTGACTCAGCTGTGTACATTAAAATAAATCTAGTCTTCTGGCTTAAATAGGCTATAAATTCCCACTTATTTCTGAAATATTTGTCATCTCTGGCTTAAAATAGACTTCAACCTTCAACTCCACCGGAAGACATTATTAGTGAGGGTTTATTGATAGACACATGGGTTTAGGGGCAGCTGTGGCTCAGGAGGTAGAGTGGATTGTCCACCAATTAGAAGATTGGTTGTTTCGCTCCCAACTGCATTTTGAAGTGTCCTTTGGAAGATACTAGTCTCCAATTTTCTTCCAATGCTGTGCATCGGTGTGTGAATGAGTTAGTTTCTGTTTGTGGAAGCCATTGCCATCAGTGTATGAATGGCTGTATGTGGCATGGAGTGTGAAGTACTTCGAGTGGTCAGAAGACTAGAAAGGTGCAGTGATGGAAAAACTGTGAAGAACCACTCGTACTCGATGAAGAGTTCAGGAGGCCTTGATGACTTCCACAGCAGAATTTATTGAGGCTCAGCCGAGGAGAACAAGATCAGCAATACATGTGTAACACGTTGCAGTTGCTAACCCAATTCTGAAGGCTATCTCCTGCCAGGGAATATTAATAATATTATAATAATATTAATAATAATACAAACATAGACCCGCGAGATCTAGTAGTGTCCCAAATATGGCCCTAACTTACACAGCTACTGTACATATGTGTGAAGATCCAATTGGGTAGTGGTTCAAAACAACCTCTAAAAAACCTACGCTATCCTAATGAGACTGTCAGTCTGGCCAAATTAAGAGGCTGTGACCTGTGACCTTATTTAGGTTAATAGACACTTTTTTTAATTCTAGTTGAAGATTTCAGGATTTAATCAGAACAGTGACCTAAGCAAAGTGATGAATTTGTCAATACCTAAATTGGTGGGGTCGGATCCACTTTTGTTGATTTGGGATAGAGCCATGTGATGGATGTTTTATAGTGGCTTTTAATTTGTTTAACACTTCATTGTATTCCAGCTTTATTCCTTGTTTGAATAGTTTGTTATTTCTTGTTTTCCTACTGTCTAGGCGTCCAGTAATGTTCAGTTTATCAAGATTTTGTATCATAAACAAACAAACAAACAAACTCTCTGCAAAGGTTCAGCTTTAGTTCAATGTACCTTCCCACGCATTAGTTTGAAGCCGAAGGGCACGTGCAGAAAGTAATCTGCAATAAAATAATCAGGTTCACTGTTTACATGGTTCAGTTTTTGTTTTGTTTGTTATTTATTTTATTTATTTATTTATTTATTTTATTAATTTAATCACTGTTCAATCTGAGGTGTTTATGCGGAGCGTTTTTATTCTGTTTTAGCTTTGAAAGCGATTATAACCGAAATATTAGGTGTAGTGTTTTTGTCATTTTGGTATGAAATTCCAGTTATGTGATTCTTCAGTGGAAACATCTTTCAAAGACAGCAAACATTGTGTGTGAGAAGATGAGAAGATTGCATGAAAGGATCCATATTTAGATTCTGTTTGAACACACAAACACAACAATTGACTTTTTCCCCTGTGTCCTCAGAATTTACATAGAAAAAGGATTTTGCAAATTCATGAGCTTTAAATTATAAGGTTCTGTCTGCTTGTGATGTTCATGTCAAACTTCCCAGCATCTGTTTCTTTAAATGTTTAATTCTTTAGTCTAGTCAAAACACAGTTAGAAATGGTTATTTTTCAAAATAAACCACACAGATTCTGCTGATATCAATCAATTGCACTAATGGTAACACAGGCTCATGTTAAGTCAGCTTAGACGATATGTCGAAGGTTGACATTAAGTCAGCAGAAACAGTATTAATATAATGACTGTGCAGCTGTTATTGCTCTTAATTTTTTTACTTTATCCATTAAAAATTTACAGATATACAATGAAGAGAGACGACGGTTTAGTCTGGTGAAGAATCAGCCTCGGAAGATTGTGGAGAAGGTGGCCTCAGACATAGAGAAACTCCTGGCTAAGAAGCGCAAAGCACTTGATGTGAGTACATGTTTCTGACTAATGTTGATCCCACTGACTGTGCTGTTTTACCTGCTACTTATTTCTTCTTTTGTTTTTAACCATCATTTTTTTCCCTGCAAATGAAGTGATCTCGCTCAGAACTACGTTCTGCAGTTTTGAGTAATAGATTAAAGAAGCTTTTTGCTAATTAAGTTTAGATTTAATATAATTCCATATAATGATAATGTAGTACTAAATTCATACATTTATTGAATAACAAAAAAGTATTTGATTAACAGAATTCCTGATGTTTCAGTGTTGTTCCACTCGTGATTGGAGAAATACTAACTCCTCTAATGTGAGTGTTTCTCTGTTTTCAACATTTAGAGGTTGGCCAGTGAAGCAGAGCGGCTCCAGCGAGAGCATCTATGGCAGGATGGGATCAAGGTAAAGCTCCAGTTTTCTGTTTTGTCACTTACAATCTGGTATGTAAATATTTACAGTTGTGGATAATGCTAATGAAAGCATATACACGTAATCGGTGACACCTCAATCTGATCCATCCTATATGCTGTGAACAAATAAAATATGATAGTGAACACATCTTCCTCACATGTCTGAACAAGTTCACACATTAGGTCACTATTTTTGTCTGCAGTCCTGTACCCTCTACGCACCGGCGCTGCTCAACATGAACTGATCTGTTACCTGTAGTTATCTCCCACTCCATTACGGGCTGAACTCGACCCGTTATTATAAGACCCGACTTGACCTGTGATTAAATATAAGCTCGGAGCTGCTGCCGGGCAAAGCTCAGGGAGCAGAATACTGTTGGGGCACACAACGGCAAGAGGTTATATATAAAGGATACAAATAAATAAAAATGCACTGAGAATGCAGATTGCAGAGGCAGAAACAGCCTCCAGCTTTCAGTGGATTATTTTTCCTTCTGCTTAGAACCAATTCCTTGTCAGAATATCACATTCACACTTCTCTGAAGTCCTGCTCACTCCTCTACGCACAGCTGGCACAGTGTGGGCACCTTCATTAATTATTTAAATTGTTTGATGAGACACCAGCGATAACTAACCTTATGCACACTAACTAGAATTTTTTTCCCGTTGTATAAATGAGGACAGATATTTTGAAAATAGATTTAAGTTTAAAATACATGAATGAGGCTTCTTATGCAGAGGAGGAGCAGAGTTGAAATGTTTTATTAATTAGGCTGTATTCATTGTTTGCACAACTATGGTTCACACTCTGTCCCTCTGTTCCATCTGTTGCTGTGTGTGATGAGAGGAGTTTATGTGATTGGTCATTACTGAAGCTCGCCACGACTCCACCTGCTGATTCTGTATTCCTCCCACTAATAATGTTTTCAGCCTCTCTTCCATGTTGTGCCCAGCTGCACCTGCACCTGTGTGTGTCGTCATCAAAATTGCTAAAAATGTACTGGTCATGTCCATTTATGTTTGCAACTATAGATTTTGCTTGTGTTTGCATCTGCAACCTATTTCAGGAAAATAGAGCCCTTAAATATCAATTCCCCAGAGTGACACTGCATTTTGCACCTAAAATAGAGCTCTTAAGTTTTTGCACAACATAGTTTTTTTGAATTTTGTAAAGTTGTGTCTTTCATGTCTTTTAGTGGATCTGAACTTACGGTGATCCACCATAATGTGTGTCAGTGAAAATATATGATAGTGGAAAGAGAAGAAGTTTGTTTGAAGTTTTAGTTTTGTTTACACTGTTGTTTTAAATTCACAAGTCTTGGAGAAAAGTAAACTATGTCTGAACTTATTCACAATAATGTTTTTCGATATATACTATCGTCATTGATACATCTAGTGTAGATATACAACAGGTTTACAACAATATTGTTTTTTGCAGGCTCAATAATTCATTAAGAATATTTTGAACATCAAATGACGGTAAAAGAATAAAGATGAAGTATTTCCTCACATAGTGGAAGTGTTACGCAGTCAAATTTAACCACTAATGTAAATTCTGACCAGATGGATATGTCTCTGAGCGCTGTGACTCTAAATGGGACGACCTGAGAAAGAAAGAACATTTACACCAGTCAGCTGAGCAGATCCCTCAGCGCTCAGCTGGCTCAACAGATGACTGAGTGCACTCAGCCGTGCGGTTCTGTTGAGTCCGACACACATTGGCATTCCACTTTTCCACTTGGTCTACTTCATTTGCCCAACAAAATGAGATGGGGTTAACCTCATCCTCTCACTTGGCCTCTCACATCATTCTCTGAGGCACTGAGTCCCTCTGTCATTTTAAAAGAGACCAGAGATTTCTGCATGTTTTAGCCCATTCATAGAAAATGGTCTCGACTTTCCAACAGCGTCAAATGTTTTCTAAAGCATGCCATAAGCTTTTAGACTGATTTCCTACCCTTTAAGGAGCCACTGTATTCCAGTATCAGTATGATGGAAATCTGGAAATTTCTGAGGAGTTGCAGAGATTCCAAAATGACTTTAAGTGTCTGAATTCCTATTGCTTCTTCTCTCCTGTTCTCTGCAAAACAAATGGACCTGATAGCTGTCAACCTCAATCTCAATAAACTGAATTTAGATTAGTCTATATAAGACTGGAAACAGCTAGCCTGTCTCTGTCCAAAGGCAACAATTTCTTTTTACCTCTAAAGCTCCCAGATTAGCATGTTATATCTCCAGAAATTCACTGCATCAGGCAAGAAATAGTTTTGTAACCCAAAATAAAACCATTGTTGTTTTCATGCTTTGTTTGGTATTGATTTTGTTAACTAACTAATGGCCCGGGTTGGAATCCGGCCCATGGACCCTCTGCTGCATGTCTTTCCCTCTCTCCTCCCGCCATTCATGTCACTCAAGTCAAACTATTGCTTTAAAGGTCCAGTGTGTAACATTTAGGAGGAGCTATTTGCAGAAATGGAATATAATATTCATAGGTATGTTTTCAGGGGTGGGTGATAGGAATTTTTATCTTATACAATTCTGAATCAGTGCACGAATGGCAAACAGTTTTGACGATTTAACGTTACTTAATACATTTCTGTTGACAGAACAAATAAGACATTACTCAATTACGAGGGCACAGTGTAGCACCTGGACGGTATATGGCGCATACATACTAGAGTAATCCTGTAGTAGTGTTTGGGCACATTTTGGATTTAATGATGCAATAATTATCTTTAATGCACTTTAATTAGCTCATCAAGACCAGTTCTCTGAGCTGTCAGTTATGTTTCATTGATTGAGCAATGTCACTGGCTGACAATGGCTAGATTCAGAGCTGTACTCCTGTGAGGGCGGGAGCTCTGTATTACTAACAGCAAGAGGACAAACAGCGGACAGAGAGAGACTTGTCATATTTAGCTAAATTGTAATATAGGTGAAAGCCCTCTTTCGAGACAAGATTTGGTAATCAAAACAGGCCAAAAATAGTCACAAAGCAGTCACCGAGTAGATGTCATGCTTATTCTGAAGTATGTTAGGTCTCTTCTAAAACTAAGAGTAACAGATGGCGATGCTCTACCCAAGCCTGACAGCCTGTCTACTGATTCATTATGTGACAGTACCGAGCAGAAAACAATAGCAAACATTTGGTGCTTACAGCTTCACAAATGGAAGGATTTGTTGCTTTTCCCTATGTTTCTTTCACTTTAATGGGCATTTGTCACCGTGGTTGCTATTTTAGAGATGCAACAATAGATTAATGAATTGCAAAATGGATAGATTAACAATATCTGTCCCCCCATTTATGTGACATTTACATATGAACTGCAGTGGTCTATCTCGCTGTCAGTGAACATATTTGAAACTAATAAGAGAATTTGGGAGGCAAATGAATGAAAAAGTTCAAAAAAGTTTTGTCTTGGAGATCGATACAGTTTATTACAGTTTAATACATTAATTATAATTAATTTAAATTAACCCTAATTAGGTACTCTCCATGTGTCATATCTGCATCTGTTTTCTTCTAGGAGCTGGACATGGCTTATTATGACTCAAAGGCAGAGCTGGATTATGTGAGTAAGGGACCAACAAACTGATTTGTCTGTTTTGTTTTTGTTCACTGAGGCCATTCAACAGTAGGACGATTACTTGGCGTGTTGTAAGTGAATGATTAAAATAAATAGATATAGATAAAAAGGGGTAACAGTAGTTGTTGTAATAGTGCTGATGAAAAGATGCTTTCTCATGTTCTCATAGTATTCCATGGATGGAGAAGGAGAGGTGGAAAATCCTTCGCACATCAAGCTGGAGTTTGTGTATGATCCAAACTTTAAGAATAATGTCAACTATTCGTACACAGCCGTTCAGATTCCCACAGATATTTATAAAGGAGGCAAGTGACCTTCTTATTTTATTGTTTTTTTACACAGAACTGTGGAAATATGTCATGTTTCTAATGATCAGATTTATTTTACACATTTAAGGAGCATATCTAAAAAGTTTTACTCTTTCCCCCATCAGCTCCAGTCATTCTAAATGAGTTGAACTGGACGCAGGCGCTGGAGAAAGTGTTCATGGAGAACAGTCAGGAGGATCCGTCATTGCTGTGGCAAGCGTTTGGGAGTGCGACAGGAGTCACTCGCTACTACCCAGGTAGGATTTTAACAGCCATTCCTGTGCTTCCTAACCTCATGTTGAATATTATTCAATCTATATATAATATAGATTGAATAGTATGAGTGAAACATCTTTCTTTTTTTTCAGCCACACCTTGGAAAGCCCCTGATAAAATCGACTTGTATGACGTCAGGAGGAGGCCCTGGTACAGTATTCTGCTTAAAGCATCTTTTCATGTTGGCCTATCACAGGTGCAGTAGCTTTACAGTGTTTTGCATCCTCTCTTTTTCTTTGTCACAGGTACATCCAGGGAGCCTCATCCCCCAAAGATATGGTCATTCTTGTTGATGTGTAAGTATTTAATGATGTTTCAAATAGTTTGATTTGTAACTTTCTTGGGTTTAGTTATTGGCTTACATGTGAATGTAGCATAAGTATACTGTTAAAACAGAAATGCGTGCTGCTTCTACTTCTCGCTGTGCACTTGTGAATTGAAAAAAAAAAAAAACCCAAACCTTTTTGATTTCTCTTGCAGTTTTAAATAATTAAGTGGTGCTGAAATCCATCTGGAAGTTTTCCACAGCCTTTCTTGCACTTCTATTTCTCTCTCACGAGTGAACTGAAGAGACTGTCAATGGTGTTATTTCACATAAGTGAGCAGCTTCTTCGGCCGTCTGGTCCCATAGGCCAGCAAAACTAGATGAAAGAAGCTAGACTGAAGTTGTTTTGTAGTAGAAAAACAGCGCACCTGGCACTGACTGCACCGAAACCAGCTGAGAGCGCAGCTCTTATTGCTTATCATGTGTAACGGCATAAAGGTTAAGTTAGAAATTATTCAGACACAAGAGCAAAGTCTGAATGCCACGTACAAGATGTTGTTTTGAGGTCTATAACTGGAGAAACAGCAGAACGTACAGTAGATACAATTTAATGAGACATGAAGACCCTTTACTATTTAAAGGAATAATTTGACATTTTGGGATATACACTTATACGCTTATTTGCTTCCCAGCAGAGAGACAGTTGAGGAGATTGATACCATTCTTCTGTCTGTCTGTTAAATATAAGGCAACAGCCATGAGAGGCAGTTGGTTAGCCTAGCTTAGCACAAAGTCTAGGAACAGACTTTGTGCTATGTTATGCTATGTTGTGCATCTAACTCTTCACCAGAAACCATTTATCCCAAACTGTTGCTTAAAGCTTCAACGTGGTCCGACCAAATTTTGTTTCCTGTTTCTATGGCAACAGATAGTATAGCGTGTTTTGCTGAGTGTATTCAGCCTCAGTCACGGTCAAGTACCGCAGCCTGCTATGACACTGCACTGTCCCCATGGTTGCAATTCACTGAGGTGATAATGGACCGTTCATTGGCACTCTCTGCGAGGTTAATCCTATTATTGAGTTGAATGAGGAAAACAGGAGAGTAGCCCTCATGAATGACCTTTCATCAACATGAAACATTTGTTTACATACATGCGCATCGAAGTTGTCAGAGAGGCAGCCGTGTATTCAAGTTCAAACAGGAAACAACGAGTAATGAATTCATAGGCTCTTTATTTATTCAGAAAGTATTTAGGGACTAAATAGCGTTTGTCCATATTCACTGGAGTTACATTAAGGTTTTTTTGGTCTTGCAGTTTCAGCAGCACTGCGGAAAATTGTGTTTGGGTTAATGTAAAGTGTACATTAGTGCATTCCTCTTCGGGAGGAGGAAATGGAAATGCGAACAAATAGTCGCTAAAAAGGATTTATCACTGCTGATTAACCACTGCGGCAGGGGAAATTACATCTATGATTGAACATTTGGAGGAAGCATGTTTAAAGTTTTTAGCATTACTAAAGACTTACGTCTGGAAAGTCAGAGGGAGAGAGAGCGTGTATTGTAATGTAAGCAGTTAATTATACTGAAATAGACCTAATGGATTTTTAAAAATCAGTTTAGGCAACCATATCAGAGGGGATTAAAAGTTTACCAACAAAAACTCATAATTCCTTAAGCTCTACAAGTTATTTGACCAAAGGAGTCTTAAACAGCACAGACATTAGGTCTTATTTAGCAGTACTTTATTCATATCCACTGCAGATGGAGTCATGTACTGTACACCTAGTAAATGCTTAGCTGAAACATGTGCTGCTGAATCCTTTTGCAAACCTCTATATAAAAACCTTTGTGATTGTGTGTGTCTATATCTCTGTGTATGTCTTTAAACTTGTGACTGAGATGATACTTGTGTGTTTCCTCAGGAGCGGCAGTGTCAGTGGACTCACCCTGAAACTGATCAAAGCGTCAGTGATGGAAATGCTGGACACTTTGTCTGATGATGACTACGTCAACGTAGCCAGGGTTAGCATCTAGCACTTACTGACTGGTTCTCCATTATTTCACATCTGTCTATCTTGGCTTTGTTGTACTTGTTTTACTTAATTTCAGTCACTACACATTTAAGCCCAAACTGTGCCTCCTGCTGTGTTCTAGTTTAACGAGAAGGCCGAGGCTGTGGTTCCCTGCTTCAAACATCTCGTCCAGGCTAATGTGCGCAACAAAAAGATCTTCAAGGATGCAGTGCAGCAAATGCAGGCTAAAGGCACCACTGACTACAAGTCTGGATTTCATTTTGCCTTCAACCAGCTGTTAAATGTAAATGAAGTATTGATTTACATCGTGTCAATACTAGCGTCTACACACAGTGTTTTGCTGTATTGACCAAAACTACTGTTCATTCTCATTCATCTCCCTTTTTAAATGTATTTTTCAGAAGACAAATGTCCCTCGGGCCAACTGCAATAAAATAATCATGCTATTTACCGATGGAGGAGAGGACAGAGCTCAGGATGTCTTCATGCAATACAACTGGCCCAACAAAACGGTTGGTTTCTTCTGATCCTCACACAACAGACACCTCTCAGTCACATCCAGCATTTCAAAAGCATGCTGTGTCTTAATCACCCTCTGAAAACTGGTGTTTCATTTGTTCCTCCGAAGGTTCGAGTTTTCACCTTTTCTGTGGGTCAACACAACTATGATGTCACACCTTTACAGTGGATCGCATGCACCAATAAAGGTGAGCTGAATTTTGTATGTGATTCATTCATTTTATTTTATTCCCCGTATCACATACACATGCATCCCTTCACCTGTACCACTATTTATTTAAAACTATTAATTATGTAAAACTGTAAACCCTTTTTTTATACATTTGAATTGTCAATGTTTACGTTGCTTTGGTCAAGTATTTTGTTTGCTCGGAGTGCTAGAAATTGGGCGTTTCAACCATTTATCTTTTACTTTAAGTTGACAGTTTCACCAGTTTATTCATTACTTTGACATATTATTACTTTTACTGTTATTGCTATTTCAACTCGCTTTCTAACTAGTTTTCATAAACTCTTACTTTTTGTTGTGGTTGAATTTACTAAAGATCAATATAAAACAAATATAAGTATAATAAGTATAATCTTATTTGGCTTTGGAAAATTGTTAATTTTACTTAAAATATGTGTGTGTATATTTTTTCTTAATCAAATTACAACTGCTACTTTTTTGGTTGAGTTTGGTTAAGTAGTTGAGTTTTACTCCATATATCCCCATATGCAATATTGATACTATAGAAGGTTTTCAGAGTTAATGTTATAATAATAAATAGTCTTCACTTTATGCCTAGACAGGATCAGTTGTATAAGTTGGACTGTAAAGCATCACCAGTAAAGCACATGTATTTTTAGCTTAACAGATAATTCATTGCTATACCAGGCCCACTCAGTGTATCTTTAAAAGTCTGTATATTTATTAATCAATACCCAGACAAATAACAAATAAATAAATCACTGAGCTCAGCATGTACAGTACAGTGCACTGGCCCTACTAATGAGCCTGCCTCTCAGATCAGTAAGCAGACCAGCGGTAGTTCTCACAGGGCTCTGTGACATTGATCTTTCCAGGAGAACTCATGTTCCTGAGGATGCTTTTTGCTCGTGTGTGCAGGGACAGTGACTAAATGGTACTCGTGTAACTTGTGCACAAGAGTTGTCTTTTGTTCACACAGAGCTGGTTTCTATTGCGTACAGATTCTCTTCTTATTCTGACACGACAGGTTGGATTTAAACTGAGAGAGAGTTGTATCTGAGAGGGGAATGCCCTATCTCCAGTAAAGTGAACTTTATAGCTGGAGATGGCACATGTGGTCTGTGGATTATATATTATATTGACCATGAGAGATTATAGCCTACGTTATTTGAGTTATTTTAACATTTCTCTAGTATACATATAAATAGTCATTGGATTGCATTGTAGAGCTGTAACAATTAGCTGATTCATCCATTAGTCAATCAACATTAAATCTATTATAATCTAAGGATTTTGATAATTGATGAATTGTTGAATTCATTACAACAAAAATGCAAAACATTAACAAGTTCCAGTATACATGATTAAATACTGAATATCTTTGTTTTGGACTGTCGGTTGGACAAAACAAGTCATTTGAAGACAATATTCTCTGACATTGCATTGCACAAGTTATAGCTAATAATTTACAGATTAATAAGAGAACAGTCAGCAGATGAATTGATAATAATATAATTATTGGTTGCAGAAAAATATAATAATAGCAGCTTGGAAAACTGGTAAACCAGATCTTATATTTAAAAAAGATTGTTTCCTATAAAGCAGATTCTGATAAGAAATTGGGTCTCAGGTTCTGTGGGACCTTTCACGTTGGACAGCTGATTTAATGATCTTGACTGAACTGTGCAAATACAAGTACCGATACCTCAGTTTTAAAGCTTAGTCGTGTTCCTCTTTAAGCTTCCTATCTGTGGGAGTTAAGTGGCTGAGTCACTGGTCTAGTAACATCTAGTAAAATGTGGAATATTTATGAGCACCACTCCTGTGTTTTTTTTTTCTGATGGCCTCTCCACATGTCCTCCTCCTCTATCTTCTCAGTCATCTCTCTCCTCTCTCTCTCTCCCCCTCTCTCCCTGTTTGTCTTTTTTCTCTGTCGCTTGCCAGGTTACTATTTTGAGATCCGTTCCATCTGTGCTATAAGGATTAACACCCAGGTGGGTTTGTCTAGTGCCTCTGACACAGCTGATCCCCATTCGCTGTTTCTAATTCTCCTTGTGGCGCTAAATCACTCTGTCGAAACATCTACTTCCATTTGTTTGCACAACCATTCTCCCCGTGGCCTGATGTTGGTGGTTTTGAAGCTGCGGCCGGTCACGCATCTCTTTTGTTTTGTCAGGAGTACCTGGACGTGCTGGGACGCCCCATGGTCCTGGCAGGCAGCGATGCCAAGCAGGTTCAGTGGACCAATGTGTATCAGGATGCTTTGGTGAGACTGCATGACCCTGCTGGCCATATGTGATCAAATATAGTAAATACATCAAACAAACAAGAAACACACGGCTCATAATTTACTGTATTGATTGGGAACCTTGTCTTTGGACTCTTTAGGGTCTTGGCATGGTAGTAACTGGGACTTTGCCTGTATTTAATCTCACCATGGATGGAAACTCACAGGTAAAAAACTGGAAAAAGGATGGATGAAGGAGTAGATAAACATTTTTATTTGCTTTCTTGCTAAGAGTTAGATGAGAAGATCGACACCCCTCTCATGAATGAATGTTAAATATGAAGCTACTGCGAGGAGATGGTTAGCTTAGCTTAGCATAGCATAAAGACTGGAAACGGGGAGAAACAGCTAGCCTGGCTCTGTCCTAAAGTAACCGAATCTACCTCCCAGCTCCTCGAAAGCTCACTAATTCACATGTTCTATCCTTTTTTCTTAATCCGAACAAAACCTCAAATGTGACCTTGACACACTTTGGTTTTGCAATGACTTCTTGGTGCTAAGCTAACTTGTTGCTGGCACCAGCTACATATTTACCGGACAGACATGAGAGCAGTATCAATTGTCTCATTTAACCTCCGGCAAGAATTGACCTCAATTTTCCAAACTATTCCTTTAACTAGTTTTAAGTATTGTTGCATTTCTCTGAACAGAATCAGCTGATATTGGGTGTCATGGGAGTCGACGTGCATCTGGACGAGATAAAGCGACTAACACCACGGTACAATGTATGTACATCACATTAGCACCATTATTAGTCACATTTTTCACATTTTTGTCCTTGTGATGGACTGAACATACTGACACATCACTGCTATTCTTTGTTTTTCTATTTCCTAAACAGCTTGGAGCCAATGGATACATATTTGCCATTGATCCAAATGGATATCTTCTCCTTCACCCTAATCTTCAGCCAAAGGTGATATATATATATATATATATATCTAATCTATTATATTTAACCTACGAAAAGTCTGATTTCACTGCAGGTAACAGGGAGGGTTGGAGACATATTGATATGAATACAGGTCCTTAACAAAAGTTTGGGTTTCAGATTCATATATATATATATATAGTTGAGGTCATTATGATGCTAATATAGCTGTTCTGCACTTGATGATAGTGTCAATGTATTTTTCTCACTCGACTTCCTCAGCTTGTGAACCTCCCTGAGCCTGTGACACTGGACTTCCTGGATGCAGAGGTGGAGGATAGCAATAAAGAAGAGGTGAGCACTTAGTGCCAAGTGGAACTGAAAAGTTTCTGTTTTCAGGCATTTTCTGTTCCTTGCCGTTGTTAAGCTGATGTTCAAAGTTCATCAACTGCCTCCGGACAATCTGCCTACCAGTCTGCAGTGTTCTGCAGGTAACCGAAGGCCCACGTAACATGCTTTTGTAAAATGTTTGTGAATAAAACTGCTTTGTGTTTTCTAGATCCGGCGGCAAATGATCGATGGAAAACCAGGTGAAATGCAGGTCAAAACTCTTATCAAGTCGATTGATGAGGTAAGTAAATTATCTTTCTGAGTCTCATTGTAGCTATCATTTTGATTTACTAACATGTGTTTACTGATCAGATTTAATCCAGGGTACAATGAATATGCTTAAAGAACATTATGTACAACCTAAGTCTCAAAAAAAGTTTACATCTTTTTTTACTTGAAATATTTATATAACTGCAACTATATGTTTAGCCATTATTTTAATCCAAGTCCTAGAAAACATTTTTGTCTTATTTATCAGACTATGACAGTAATGTGCAGCATTCTATTGGTAAAGATGAGAACCACCATGAAGCTCATGAGGCCATCAGTCTGCAGACTTAAACAGAAAGTACCTCTGCAATACATTCAACTTTCACTGTGCATTTATTTCCAAATAAGTGGTCTAGATAACTTTGTTAAAGGCCCAGTTCTTTTTTTTTATCATATAATCTTTCAGGTGTAGAACAGACCAACAACATCACAGTAAATACACATTATACATGTAGATTACACTGCTACTAAATGGACAGACTATAGGTCCTTTTAGTAACGGTTCTTCCCACTAAACATTGTTCTGTTTTCTTTGTTTTTTTACAATAAATATCGGTGTAAGAAAATCATAACATTGTCAGAAAATATGAATACCTTTAGGTTAATAAAATGTAAGTGTTAGTCCCTTTATTAAAAGACTGATAACATATATAGAATTTTAGATCATCATTATCACAGATAAGTGTTCTGATGCTTATTTTGCTGACATGAAAGAAACAAACAAACAACAACATTAAGGCCCAGGTTGTAAAAAATCACAGTCATGGCATGAAGCAAAAACAATTGTAGCCTGCATACTTTGGCTGACATTTTACTCAAATGTCTCCTTTTCTGTAGCAATACATCGATGAGGTGTACCGGGGCTACACATGGACTCCTATCAATGGTACAGATTACAGGTGAGCAGTAAACAATGTCATCAGTTACAAATAATACCCAAACAGCTGTGTCACGATGAAGACTACATGCACAGATCGATTCACTCTGAGACCCTTTGTCCTCTATCTCCTCATTCATTCATTTCTTCTTGTTGGGATGCTGCCACCTGTAGTCTTGGTCTGGTATTACCCCCCTACAATGACTACTACATCCAGGCAGACCTGAGTGATGTGATGCTACAGCTCCAGTGTGAGTACAGGGAGGCAGAGCTTTCAAGATTCTGTTTTATTAAGATTTAACACAAAGATGAGATAAATAAAACACCCTCTGTGTCTGTGTTACAGATATGCAGTCGTTGCTGCCCAGCTCCTTTGAATCCTCAGGTCATGTGTTTCTGGCTCCAAGGTGACCACCATATCTCTCTTTGCTCTCTTGATTTCACTCTTTCTTTATCTGCTAGTATTACATCCGTCCTCTGTCTTTCTCAGGGAATACTGCAAACGTCTGCATCTGTCCGACAACAACACCCAGTTTCTGCAGAACTTCCTCTCGCTCATGCTGGACATTTCCCCAGAATCTGATGAGTGTGAGTGTGTTAAAAGCATTTCATAGTTTACAATATCTGGCACCGCTGCAGACACACAGGTGAGATAATATACTTGTTTTGTGTCTCAGGTGACCAAGGCCTCATCCACAACCTGATTTTGGATTCTAGGATTATCGGGCAGCTGGCCTCTCGTGTTTGGAAGAACAAAGACTTGAATTCGTGAGTCGACCAGTTGTTGCTTTACACAGTATTCTCACGCACCATCCACCACGGTGTGTGAATAAACAACAATCTGCTTTGATGGTATAAAAACTAATTGTTACAGGTATGGCTTCCTGGCTGTATTTGCGTCCACTGATGGAGGAATAACACGTGTTTTTCCTAACATGTGAGTATGATCAATGAGCTTAATAACGCAGAGAAATATATTAGTAATCTCACATGTGTTCTGTCTGTTTACTGAAAAATTTAAATGATGTTTTTACAGGGCTGCTGACTTATGGGATGAGGATCCTGAACCCTTCAATTCCAATTACTACAGACGGAGCCTCGACAACAAAGGTTACATGTTCAGAGCTCCATCGAGATCCTGTGAGTAACACGGTGGAACATTTCGAAGCTAAAGAGACAAATATTTCCCTCAGGAGTTGGTGGAGACCAAAACTAAAGCCCACAGTGGATATATTGTCAGCCGATATTGGCCTGTCGCAGACATATCGGTATCATAGCACTGAGTAAGAGAGAGGAAGCTGCTCTCAGCAGTGTCAACTAGAATTGGTTGATTGAAAATGAATATTTAACTTAAATATTCTTTAATAAAGTTATTTGTTTAAGAAAGCAGATTTCTGAGTACCCTTACAGAGTCATATTGGTGCAGAATCGGGGCACAGTCCACATAAAAAAGGCCTATTTTCATTCCAGCTCAAATATGCACTACATTGGCCTCTATATTGGTAATCAGTGAATGTAAATGTGGATGTGTGATGAAGCAAATGCTTGCTAACATAGTTCACATATCAGCTTTAAAGGTGATGATAGGTCAATGTTGTGTTCACAGCTTGTTCCTGCTGCCCCCAAATGGGCCAAAAAATGACAAACATGAACAAAAAAACAAACATTATTTCAGGTTTAACTTTACTTCATCAAATTAGACATAACTGTAAATGTTAGCTACCATTTTTAAAGTCAAAGTTAAGTTTGACCTTGGGATGAGTATGTGGGGAAAATAATTAAATTAAGTTAAAAAATGCATAAAAATTATATATAAATTTAAAATGATGAATTCAGCATTCGTACATGAGTTTTCTTTAATAACATTTTGTTTCAGCGTTGGACGACCCTGCAGCAGCAGAAAATGGCACCGTTGGAATTCTGGTTAGTTCAGCTGTTGAGGTTAATTTAGGAGGCAAACTGCTCAAACCCTCAGGTAAGAACAATACTTTTATGCGGCAAACGTAATGTGGTATCCTGTTTTGTACTCTCTTCTTACCAAAATGCTGTTTCTCGCCCTCCTCTTCCTCTCTTTGCCCTGATCCTGTGGATCTTGTCACTCAGTGGTTGGAGTGAAGCTGGACTTGGAAGCGTGGGTGGACAAGTTTAAGATCCTGGCTAGCAACGTGTCTGACAGTCGGCAGGGCTCACACAAGGTACAGCACAGTGGCACTAATTACTAATAATCACTTAATTAGACTGCATTTACTGTAACAAAAGTGACATTATTGTCTCGGTGCACATTTTGTCAAACAGTGTGGACCATCCAGAAGTTGTGAGATGGACTGTGAAGTAAACACCGACGTAAGAACATTTTGTGTTTTCATTCTCACATTAACCACTACACTGTAGCAGACCTGCTACTGTAGCCAGATACTGTCATCAGGTTAAATCTGTTCTTAACGTGTTCACTTGAAACAATTTATAAACGAGGACAGAGCAATTCTTGTCTCCCTTTCAGTCAGCCAACTCCCTGATAAGAGGAACACTTAAAGGAAACTATAAAACTGACATTTCCAGTGTAATTAACTAAATCCACACTGCTCCCTGTTGTGTATGGTTAAGATAAAGAGTAATTAACCAGTAGTTTGGACAGATATTGAGCCCTTAAGTCTTTCTTGAAAATAGCAGAAGAAAAAGGAACAAATGATCCTGTTTCATATGTTTTTTTTGCAGTGAATTATCTTTTTGTATAGAAAATATCCATTGCCATATGCCTGCAGGTTTTTACAGTCTACTGTCTCCTCCTATAAGATCTGCCTGTATCTTGAGACAGTCTTTGCCCTCCTGCCGTTCAGTGATGTAGTAAAGAGTTAAAAGCTGCTGCTGTGTGTAGCTCACTTGATGTAAACTGTGCCGTGTTGTCTGAAGGACCTCCTCTGCTATCTCATTGACGATGGTGGCTTCCTGGTGATGTCCAATCAGAGAGATCACTGGAAAAAGGTACGTCTTTGTGTGGTAACATGCTTACTCATATACAATATATAATCTACTGTCTACTTTTAGAACAAAGTACAGCACTTATTCACTATGTTTTATATGTTTTATAACTAAAGGTATAAAAATGTCTGTAAGCAGATGTGAATTAGTTTCTGAACTTTCCATCAACATAGTTGTTATAAATGGTGTTTTTTTTATTGCATGTTTTACATCAGATTTTGTTTGTTTGCTTGTTTCAAAAATAGCTTTTGGTACAAGATCATTACAGTATTCAACTTAACTAAATTTAGCTTAAGTCATCGCAATTTCCCTCTGTTTATCCTCCAGTTCAGTTGTCACTGCAGGGCTGTTTCTCTGATGCACTTTGTTTTCCTTTCTATTGGGCATCTGTCCTTTCTATCATAGATTGGTCTTTTCTTTGGTGATGTGGACCCTTACCTGATGCACGCACTCTACAACAACTCAATCTTCACTCGTCGTCAGTCTTTCCACTACCAGTCTGCATGTGAACCAATCAGCAGCAGCCACACCGGTGCAGCACCCAGGGGAATCTTTGTAGTAAGAGACCACCTGCAGGATTTTCATTCTGGGACATCTTTATCACTTGGTTTAATATGATGGAAAGTCTGTGACTTATCTCTGTTTCTGCAGCCATCCATCGCTGACATCCTCAGCTTGGCCTGGTGGACATCCACAGTGGCATGGTGAGAATTTGTTTACTGCAAATAAGATGACACCAAGAGCATGTGAGGCGCCCTTTAAAACAATCTTAACTGTGTTCAGACTTCTGCTCATTAAATCAGGAGGGCCTTTTTTTCATGCTAGGTAGCTGACGCTTGGTTATTTTCAGCTCAAAGTTACTGTAGCTGTGACATGTGTGTATTCTCATTTATTGATGTTCACAGATTGTATTTCAATCTTTACAAAGTGCAATGTGCAACACCTTTATAGGTCTGTGACCCAGCAGCTACTGTATGGACTGGCGTACAACAGCTGGCTCTACCAAGGTAGATTAATGCATCTTAACACAATCTTTGTGTGTGCACATAAACATCTGCGTAAATTAATGGATTCAGAAAGGCTCATTACCTTGTGTTTTATGTTAAAAATGATACAAATTAAATTAAAAAAGTAAGTCAAATCTAATAATCAGCTCATTTGCATTATTCTGACCTCATTAAAAGGGGATTTAGTTTGTTATGATTTGTTACGTGTTCTTGCACTGGAGAACCAGGAAACATCATTTGGTTGAATGTCCACATAAAATCTGGGTTAAAATCAATTTAAACCAAATTAGTCTGAAAATGGGTTTTAAGAATGTTATTAACATTATTTTTAAAAAAAAAATGCTAAATTTGGATGTGTGTGTGTGTTTTAGATGATGTCCTGGTTGAAGGTTTTGAGATAAGGGAAAGCAGCTGTGTGACCATCCAAAGCCAGTTCTACTTTACAAACACCACCAACTCCTATAACGTGCTGCAGGACTGTGGAAACTGCTCACGGTGGGGTTTTCTGGATGTGTTTACAGCGTGTTTATGCTCTCATACCTACACTGAACACTTTATGAAGCTGGCTATTTATCCATCCCTGTCTCCAATAGGCTGTTCCATGCGAAACGGATAGAAAGCACCAACCTCCTCTTTGTGGTCGCTGAGACGCTCCCCTGCAGCTCATGTGAGATAGAGAGATTGACACAGGTCAGGACAGAGTGTATCCTTTTCAAACTCTGTGGAATTTTTCATTTGTGCTGAAGGTGGAAATCTCATCAATAATGTACGGCAGGTACATTAACTGTTACCTCCCTTAACTCAAAGCAAACAGTTCAGGAGGAGAATCCATGCGAAGTACTGAGCAACGCACGATATCGTAAAGGCCCGACTTCCTGCTTTGACTACAGTGCCTTAGTGAGTAGATGCACTTTTAGTATGACATTATATCTGTGCCTCAACCCTGATGTGATGGGCCATTTTGATCACAAAATAAAAATTCTAAGCACAATTATTAATTTTAACAAGTTATTTGTGTGTTTGCTATTATCCACATCTCTCTGTGTCCCAGCTCTGTGCACAAATCTTTATGAACTTTTATCTCTGTTGGTAGCTGATCTCTGCCAGATAAACAGTATTAACTAAACTTGTTGGCTAATTTGATTTCAACTACACAGCCAAGGTAGTATAATCCTTAATGTAGTTCCTTCAAAACAAACAATAACTTTGCCACTAAATCAAAGATATGATTTCTTAAACAGTGTGCTACATCTCACTTAGCTACTGCTTATCTGGCAGACGTTGGCTAACTACCTACCAAGACAACTTGCAAAGCTAATAAAGCACAGACTAATTTACAACTGGAATATTATGAAGGGTCATAAAATTAGGTATTTAACCATAACTGTATAAACTACGTCTATCTTATTTTCCCAGTGCGTCCCTTCTTTCCTTGTAAAGCTGCCATTATGCGTCAACAAAACAGCTTGTTAGATGGTTTAAAACCTTTCTGATGTTGTAATCAGGTTGGAATAAAGAGCGGGGGCTTTGTCTTTCTGTAACTTTCCGGAAAACCAACAATTTGAACTTCTCGCTTTAGTTATCTTTTTTTATTCTTGACATTCACAGCTATTTATGCCACTTTTCGTGTGAACAATGGAGTGCAACACTATTAAGTGTTCACTTCACCTCCCAGAAGACACATTGTACACACTAGTTCATTTTTAGCATAACTCAGTCCAATCGGATTGGACACAAAAACAGCCAAACATAAATTACGTACTCTAATCTTTTTGTTGGCTGGAATTGTGGGAAACATAAGAGTGCACAGAGCGGAGAAGCTGAGAGAGGGCAAACTATTAAAGTGAGGAAGATGATTATTGTGTTTTTCTGTCTGTAATAGTAAACACAAAAATGTATTTATTGAACATAGAATAGATTTTCTGCTCATTGATTCTACAAAATATAATTTATTTACTTTCAAAAGATTGTTTTTGTGTTCAAAATGTCTGTATGAAGTACAAACACAACCACAAGGATTTTCTTAATGTACAAGTGATGAATAATTTGCTCTGGAAAAAGAGGATTTGTTTTTAATTAACTTAATTAATTCTCGTTGCAGGAAAACACGTCAGAGTGTGGACGGGGTCATGCTCTGCAGTCCTCCATAGGAGTCCTTCTCTTCATTCAGCTTATTCTGCCTCTTTTTCATCTCTGACACTTGCAAACACTCTAACTGACATCTTTCATCTCTTTGGGTTTAGGCTCGGATCTACTGAAGGTTAGATCAAACAGAAACTGCAAAATTTTTATTTTTTTTGATCTACAAACGGCCCACAGTGCATTGGTGCTTGGAAAAAAAAAACATGGATCAGCTCTTAGTGTTTTTTGCCTTATTGCTCATGCATTTGTTGGTGTTTCAGGGCTCGAGTGCAAAATATAGGAAGAGAATGTGTTGAGTGTGCATGCTACTTAAACTAGAACAAGCATGTTTAAAATTTCTGCACACAGGCTCAGCCATGTAAACGATTACCAAAAAGTCAGGGAGGAAACTGAAATGTACTTTTAACAGGCCAATATATAATAGACAACTACAGTTATAGGTTGGATTGAGGTGGTGAAATTATAAAAGATCTAAAAACTCAGTTGGATTTATTTGCTTTGTGGTACAAAGCAATATTTATTATTGAATGGAAGTATTAGCATCAAAATTAACAGCAGAAAGGACCCTTTCTCACCATATCATGCACTATATTATCAGATTATTATTGCTGATGTACATGTTGGAGCATTTTAGTGTTGTTGCTTATCAAGATAATTTCCACTACTTTGTATACTGTTGAGTAGTTTTATCTACAACAATCATTCTCAGTATTTACTACAGTAGGAGTAGAAGCATTAAAGTGTTTAAAATCTGTCTTTCCCACCAAACCAGATTGTATTCTTGAGAGAACAAACAGGTTGAAGGTATTTCCTGAGCACATAAACAGCTACGGATTTAAAGAACAGCTTCTTAATATCTTTATCTACAGTCCGATCCGCTTTACTTGCTAACAGTTTTCTTCTGCCCTACATTTTCTGGTCACCTGCCTGCTTGCGTGCACACACACAGAGCAGCAAAACGGGGACCTACTTACAAAAACATTGCGCCATAGCACTTTACTTTACTTTAAGTAGCATAAAATGGAATTACTCATGTAAAGAACAAAAAACCTCAACAGTACCCAAGTATAGTACTTGAGTAAATACTTAGTTAATTTGCATCACTGAAAATACACAGCTGAGTGATATAACAACTTTGTAGAGACAGTATTCTGAGTTTTTAGATCTTTCATTGTCACTGTGGTTCATTAGATGAGGCCCACCTCAATAGTTAATATGGATTTACAGTTTTCATACAACTGCAGCGTAAAGCTATCCAAGACATTTACACAACAGACAGCTTTACATTAATCTAACTGCATGAACATGTAAACAAACAGACATAATCTGCTGCTGGTTGAGCTTCACTCTCTTCTGTAGTTTTCTCAGACTCTGCTGCTTCTGGCAACTTCTGCTTTTGTTGGCTTTGTGAAATTCAAAATGAATTGTCTGCGCAAGTTTTTATTTGCATGGCCAGTCCTAGAAAAAGTATTTGCACAATAAAGGAGCTCCTGCACTTACAGCAGTTTTTACATTATATAAGATCCGGGCCTTAACCTCACATTCACTTCAGTGTCTTTCAATCCACCTCTGACCTTTGCCAAGACAGCTTCAGGACTAAAAGGTGTATCATACATGACAACGACCAAGAATGACTTCCCTCTGCCATCTCAAGTACGCCCTGTCTTTTAAATCTTTAAATCTAACCAGATTTCAGACAGAATTTAGATGTATTTTTTCCCCCTAAAAATATTTTCTTAGAGCACTTTGACGTAAAGGACAACAGGTGAGAAAAGCTAATATGATGAGAAATACCAATGTTAGACCTCCAGCAAGATTTTGTGACTTTTCACAGCACATCAGTGGTGAAACGTCTGTGTAGTTTCATTGTTAAAGTCAAGGTTTGTTTTGTTGAAATGTTTTCACAGATACTCTGTAGGATCTTGAAGTGCTTCCAGTTGATAAGAAGTGTAAAACCAGACTAAAACAGAACAAAAAAAGGACAATACTGCTGTCATAATCAAATTCTTTATTCTAGCCCTAATTATCATGACCACAGTGTATCATGCATTTCCAGTAATTTCCATGCAGTGTTATCTGTGTAGTAGTACAGCACAAAACACGCACAGGCGTCAGTGTGTGTGGCCAACATGTTTTTAAAACATATTACATCAGTTGTTTGATTGAGGGGAAGCTCTCTGTCCCTTTTTTGTATCTTGTATAAGCACTATTTGTCAAACCTGAATTTATGCACTTATGTATGCTTCTGTATGGGGAATGTAGCTTCTGAACAGCTTTCGGTGTTATCAATATGTTATCAGTCTGTGATCCTTTATGACCCTCTGTTGAGATTCCCCTGAAGTCTCTTTAAAAGCGATGATTCACTGTGGAAGAATATTAAAATTTTTATCATGCATACCTCTTCATACCTGATGACATCTAAAATGTCCGCCCAGTACTACAGTTGCACTAAAAATGTTTGTATAATTTATTTAGTCTATGTCAGGGATGTAGATGTGGATACAGGCGTACAGGTTGAACCTTGACTCCATAGTACATGAAGTAATACACAACATATATTAGGGCTGTAAATTATTTTCATTATCGATTGTTCTGGCCATAATTTTCTCAATTAATCGACAGTTGTTTTGTGTGTAAAATGGGAATAAAATAATGAAAAATGCTTCTCACAGTTTCCCAGAGATCAGACTGACATCACAAATTCTGTTCTTACACACGTTTTAAAATCAGAGTTAAGGTAAGCACAGTGAAACTTTCATCCTTCAGCAGATTAATATGAAAACTTTTTAATGTCACACTCTGCCCATATTTTCATCATTCTGCACAGTGAAGGTCAAAAAGCCAAGTAGAGTAAACACATTTTGGAATCGAGGGGGGACTTTAAATTATTCAAATTATTTTTAATGAATAAGAAAGTAAAGAGTTGTGCATGATAAAATCCTGGAAACATTTTCCCACAATGATTCATCACCCCCTGATGTCTTTTTTGTTTTATCATTTGATCTGATTAAGGAGTTAATGGTGGATTTTTTTAAAAAGCTTTTTTGACAAAATATTTGTAAAATGCTGTTTTTCTCCATCTGCCTGGTGTTCCACCCTTGCAGTGCCTTGTTGCACTCATTCTGGATGGCAGGAACGTTTGGATCTTAGACGTGTGGACGTTCATCCTGCAGACCGTGTGAAAGACACACTTGAATTTCGACGGTTGCAATGGTTCAACTCTGAATGGACTTCTCGGTCAGGGAACAAAAAAAAGATGCTCTTCATGAACTTGTGAAACCTTTTTTAAAGGAGTACCACGCAGTTGTGAAAGAGCACGACAGAAGTGTGTCGAGCAGCCGGCCTCCCCTCCTGCCTTCTCATGGACAGATGTGTGTCAAAGCTGCCCTTCTGCTACGTGTCGTTTATCTCTACACTGTGGTTCAGCCTCGAATCAAAGCACAGACACTGTCCATTTTTCATATATTTACTCCATCACATCTGCACACTGTATATTCTATATTTGAAGCCTGTCGGAAACATGTACTTTTCCATCAGGACTGACTGAAACGAGTGAATGTTTATGTACAGTATTACCTGCTGTTGTGCATCTCTGCTGTACCCGAGCATGGTGGGGACCGGAGAAGCAGATTAAAGCTCAACACTGTTTGGAGACCTCAGCAAAAACACTGCATAAAAAAAAAACAGACCAAAAAAAAAAAAGCCTTTATTTGGAGACCTGCAGTATTAACTTTAGGTCGTATTGCATCATTCAAACAACATTGTTGTACATTGACGGAAAGACATTTTGTGAAACTCTTTATAGCCTACAATATATTACTACTGTTGAGGTCAGTGTTGTATTTTTGTTTGAAATTACCGGTATTTATTTGCATGATATTTTAAACAATTTACAGATTTGTGTACATAGTCTGATGGATATTTTACATTCCTGTCGACATCCAGCTCTCCAGTACTGTGGGGAGAAACGGAGGCGCCCTCTGCAGATATTTGGGGTGATATGGAGGCCTCTGAGCTCTTTGCTGTGTGTAAACTCACGAAGCTGAAAGTTTGACTTCAGTGAAGCCTACAATAACTGTCAGTGTTTGCAATTTAGGTCTTTTGCAGGAAGTAAAAGCACAGAGAAGTTTAGAGTTATGAGCAACATACTGCCTGATTAAACTTTTGTCATTTATTTAGGAAAAAAGTGACATTAAAAAAACACTGGATATGATTTATGCATTTAAAGGCTGTATAACAAACAAAACAAGGCAGTGGCATGTGTGGGGACACCCCTTTATGAATTAACTTAGTTTATGAAATAGATTTAAGTGTTGCTTATTTAATTTGTTTATGTATTATTTTATTTATTTGTTTATTTATTTGGGTATTGTGAATTATACTTGTATTGAACAGAAAGGAATTGAATGTGTTTGAAGCTTGCGTGGGCACACTAAGCAGTTTACAAGAAAATTGCAGAAACAGAAAAAAAACATAAACTACTGTATGTCTTTGTCCTTTTTTTATTTACTGAGTATCAAAAGATGAGAATGTTAATGTTTTTGCTGTAACTTTGCTTTTCATTTTGCTGACGTTGTTGTTTACTCGGGACAGTTTCCTCTCTTTGTGCCAGTCTCCAATGCCACCTCATTTTTGTACAGACGATGTGAAGCAGTCAGCAGAAGATGAAGGCTAACTTTGTAAAGATTTTGTCAGTCACATTACAAAATGGATATTTAAATGTTTATATCTTTGGTGATTAAATGCTATTGATATTTTTCACTTCAGCTCTGAATCGTTATTGTTGCATTGATGATTTCATACACTCTCACATCAAGCCTTCAGTCCAATCCATTAAAATACACTTTGTCATTCTTATTTGTAGCCAAAAACACAAGTGAAAGGTTTTTCCAATTTTGACCTGTGTGGCAGTCCAATGTGAACTGGTTTGATACTGCTGGTAATAAAAGTAGATCAAATAGCTGGTTAAGCTCTGCAGGGTTAATTTGGGTTCATTGTACAGTTTGTACCCATAAAATATGTCACTTAAACAGGGGTCATCAGTTTACTAAATGTTTGACAAGGCGTCCAGTCGAAACAAAGGGACGCTTAGGACACCCTGACCTAGCCAATGGTGGTGCCCTGTTTCACAAGATAAACGGCATGAAAAGGGCTGAATACAAATGAGGTGTGTCAGGTAGCAGGGGCAGTGATTTCTGTGGGAGACAGTAGCTCCCCTTAGTGTGGACTTTTACATGCTTGAGAAATCTCTATAACATATTAAAACACTGGGAACCCCCCCCCCCCCCAAAAAAAAGCAAATACAGCCTCTTTAAATGATTATTCGATTGTCAAAACTGTGGGAATCATTTTCTATCAAGTGATTTCAGCATTAAATTAAAATATGTTGCTGATATTTGCTGTGTTCTCTAATCTGTTAATGGCAGATTTTATATATATATTTATTTCCAAATATTTTATGCAGACGTTTTTGGTTACGTATGGTGTTCAAAAGTGACCTTTGCCCTCTGGACTCCTCAGCCATAAGACAGACAAGTGAGAAAAGTTGTTTCCATTTTGGCTCAGGTTTCTCTAAATGTCTAAAAATAAATACAGGTCTGTGTCCTGGCACCATACTAAAGGTTTACAATGCAGGCAACTGAACTGAAGCTACTAAATAACTTCAGTGGACTTCCATTATCTAATGCAGAAAGACTGTGTTTCTTTGCCAGCTGTCGAGGATTAAAACACAAGTTTAGGGCAGCTTGGCGAGGACCTGAAAAGACATCCAAGAGTCAAGCAGCTTGCATGATTCATCGTGTGCATTTGCTCATAATGTCAGTCAGTGAACATTTGAAATGTTGAGCCGAGGTCTTCAGAGGAAAGACGATAGGTTGCTGGCCACTTCCACGGACACTAAAATCTCTGGATGGAGGCTGTGGGATGTTTTAGCTCCTCTGATTCACCAACAGTCCCGCAGGCCAGCTGGTCTCAATAGTCTCATTTGGATTTAAGTGATAGCTTCTATCCAGCAGGCATAGTGCCTTGTTATGTGGCTTAAAGAGAAATACACAGTCTGATTTAGCTATGAAATCAGGCCGTCAGTGTTTGGCAAAGCAGTTCAGAATCTTATTGTCATTTTAATCCATCATGTGAGGTGAGGTATAACCAGCACATCTCAGAGGCTCGTCTTTCATAAACTGAACAACAGAGACACTGCACAGATGAAGCTTTCAGGAGAGATGATGAAGATTGATGTAGGTCTGCTGCAGAATATAACTTCCTTTTGGGTAAAACTGTTTTAAATTGCAATTTATCAAAGTGAAGAACTAGAATCTGTTGTAGCCTCAGCTGTTGTGTCCATAAGCTTTATTTTATCTTTTTTTAATGTCTAAGTTGAATAGCTTATGAATATGATTAAATGTTTCTGCATTATGTGGGAGAAAGCATATATATTTTCAAGACTGTAAAACAATATTCAGTGAGTTTACTTTTATTAACTGCTAAAACACTTGAGGCAATTTATAGCGCTGATCCTTTTAGGGATTATTTATGATAAAATACTTGAGACACAGTGATATAAAATGGGCAAACAGGGCTGAGACTTTTAAAGTAGGTTTCTGTTTTGTGCATTTGATACTTCTCTAACAAGGATTCAGTTACTTGGGAGAGAATTTAATCTCTGAGTTATTCATAGAAAAAAGACTACATTAATATACTTAGCTGTGTGTTATTTATGCATAAGAACTAAAAAAAATTAAACTAGAATTTATTAACTGTACCCAGTGTGTGCCTTAAAGAGAGACTTCTCACAATAACATTGTAGTATAAAGATGTGTCTGGTCCCACGGATTCAGAAGCAAACAGGTGCACTTGATTCACTGGTGGCAGCTGTCATTTGTCACAATGTTAATGAAATAGCTCCCCGAAGAGGAAGCATTTGGTAGCGGATGGTTGCTTTTCCCCAAAGGATTTATGGGTTTTTTTTCCCCCTCTGCTGTCAGGATGAGCATTGATGCAACAAAATACTCTGTATGTTTACTCCCACAGGACTTGAATTTGAGATTTGAGAGATACGATTATAAAACTGTTGCATCTACTGATTCAATATGTTAGGCTACAGTTATTAGTGACATGATGATCTGATTATATTGTTAAAGTGTGTGCTGGATTTTCACTATTGTACAGGGTGAACACTTCATCACAGGTAGACATGCCCTGTGGTCAGTGTGAGAGAAACAATGTACAGGTATGTAACAGAAATAAATTCATTAGCCTGCCAGAAAACATTCTGTCATAAAGATGAAAGCAAGAATATTTACTTAATTTCATCTAGCTTTAATTTTAATTAACTTAAAATAATTAAATTGGTCTGTGTAAGAGCAACAGTTCAACATTTTAGGAAGAATGGTTATCTCATTCTTGCTGAGAGTTTGGAGTCTCAGCTGGTTGCCTGGCCACGTCATGGTGATGATATGACTCCAGGAAGTAACTGCGTCAGGCACAGGCAAATTATATAATATTTTTATATATTTTTTTAAATACCTGTTAAACAAATAAGTTATAACATGTTAATTAGTAAACTTTAGAGGTGCTGGAAGGTGGATTATTTGGACGGCATTATAACCAATTTCAGAACTAAGTCTGTACTCAAAGGATAACACAATTAAAAAATGTTCACTTGGTGACAATTTCACATTAAAGGGTGGGTTGTCAACCGTTGAACAAGAAGCACAGAAAGCAGCTCTTCACAAATCAAGAATGGGAGGCTGGCGTGACTTCCACAGGCAATTGATGCTCTGGGGTACTGTTTGTCAGTACTTGACAGCATAGTACAGCATATGTCACCGCTGATTAGGCAAAGGAGGAAAGAAATATAGACTAGCCAAATTGACATTAACTGATCTTACAAGGAGATTGTGGAGAGGAGAAGACATAAGAGGAAGCAGTGTCTGTATCGCTAGTATAAGAGTATAGGAATTGGGACTATAGAGGTGAGAATGCTCTTTTCTACAAGAAGGCTTGTTTGGGCACTGTGCCACATTACAACAGAGAGTGAGACGATTCCACCAGCCATCGTGGAATTATAACATTGCAGCCATGACAGGCCAAAGAGCTCAGCAATAAAGTCATGACAAATGAGCGGAGTCCACAGGGAATAGTATTACACCTATTTGATGAACAATATTAGGTATTTGTGCTCTAATGCTAAGACTTTGTTATCAGGAAGAATGTATTGGTAACCTAACTTTTACATTCGTACTATTAATAATCATTTTGTAAAAAAAAAAAAAGAAGAAGCTACAAATGGTTAGCTTAGCTCAAGTTTTGCACGGAGAACTGAACCTGTTGGTTAAAACTGTCCAGCACTCTAAAGTTTACTAATTAACATGTTAATAGGAACTTATTTGTTTAACAGGTATGTTCCAAAAAATTATATCAAAATAATGTATATACGCCATTGCCTGTGCCTAGACGCAGTTACTTCCTGGCAGTCCATATCCATCACCATGACGTGGCCGGCAACCAGCTGAGACTCCAAACTCTCAAAAAAGCAAGAATGAGATAGACCATTCTTCTAAAATGTTGAACCCTGTTGCTCTCTCACACAGACCAATTTTAATTAATTTTAAAG